CAGGAATGTCTTCCTCTGCAGAATGAGCAGATATGGAAGAAACTTCATGGTAAGCCAACGTATCTGGTGTAGTTATCAATATTATGAGTGGAACGACCACCTTGTGTGCCATAATACCATACCATACCATACCAACTTTATTTATAAAGCACTAAAAACAACCAAAGTGGACCAAAGTGCTGTACATTGCAATAAAACAGTATATATTATAAACCCACAAACAACAATATAAAATATAATCAATATAATAAATGACTAAATCAACACAAAAATAAAATATCAAAATGCAAGGGGAAATAAATGAGTTTTTAAAAGAGAAAAGAGACTTAAAAACAGACAGGGTAGAGGCTTGTCTAATGGACAGCGGTAAGTCATTCCAGAGTTTGGGACCAGCAACTGTGAAGGCTCAATCGCCTCTAAGCATACGCTTTGTTCTTGGGACACTCAAGAGAAGCTGATTGGCTGACCTCAGAGAGCGTGTGGGTGTATGCCAATGAAGCAAATCAGATAAGTAGGATGGTGCAGAGCCATGAAGGGATTTAAAAACAAAGAGTAAAATTTTGTAATGGACCCGAAAATGGACAGGTAACCAGTGTAGGGAGGCCAAAACTGGAGAGATATGTTCATATTTCCTTGTACCTGTTAAAAGACGCGCTGCTGCATTTTGGACCATCTGGAGGCGATTGATAGAAGACTCACCGACCCCAAGATACAATGAGTTACAATAGTCCAAACGGGAAGTAATGAAAGCATGAATAAGCGTCTCAAAATGCTGTCTAGAGACAAATGCTTTTACTTTAGCCAACTGTCTGAGGTGAAAGAAACTAGATTTACTCATCAGAGACCTAGAGCGCCAGAGCCAGGGCTACCGGCAGAAAGGTACAGGGAGAAAGAGAGGACACACTACGAGAGAGAGGAGACACAAAGTTATTGATGTGTAATGGTGGCATATAGATGCATGGAGAGAGAGGAAAGGAGAGGAGCGGAACCTGCAATCTGAGAGCGAAGTGCTTTGTTGGGATGATAAGGTTCTCCAACTCTTTAAGATATGATGGAGCCTTGTCATTAAGGGCTTTGTATGTTAGCAGAAGAATGTAAAAATCTATTCTGGATTTTACAGGGAGTCATTGGAGAGAAGCTAATATGGGAGAGATATGATCTCTCTTGCTACATAGTTCCTGTCATCTTGCTGCAGCATTTTGGATTAATTGGAGGCTTTTTACGGAATAAGAGAGAGTTTTGTGCATGGTTATATGATTGGAAGAGGAAAGGGTGTGTGCTTCTTGCATGGACTTGCTCCTGAACTTCATATTGAAATTTTGCAATTATTAACTAAACAGCTTTATTTTAAAAGGGCCTGTTTATTTTTGTGGTGTTATTATTCAACTCCGATTTGAATCAAATGAAGACTATGGAGATTATGGAAATATCCATCTTCCATCAGCCTTGCTTGTGTTAGTTTTTGCTTCTAGCAGTAGTCCAGTAGACCTTTTTCACAGAAGACATTTTGACATGTCTTAGAAAAGCACAGGTGTAAATGATAAGACTCATGATGCATTTCATTTATGTGAGCGATTTCCAGGATCATGGTATTATGCATGCTTGCTGAGTGGAATTGTTGAGTGGGACATTTTAATGGAACTCAGCCATTGTGAATGTTAGCTACACCTGTGTTGTTTTTTTTCTACTGTGACAGCTTAAAATGTCTGCTCTGAAAAAGGTCTATCCTTTCCTCCATTTGTCTGCTTTTGTCTGACTGTCACTCTTGCTCCCGTGTTACTGCTCAGATCACTTGGTCTTCTTTTTGTTTTCCTCCTACCAGTTTGTCTCTTTTTGCAATTATGCATCTACCAAATTCAAACATTTGAAGAACATGTGGACATCTGAACATGAGAACATCTGAAAGTTTTCTCCTAAATCTTTAAGATCAATCCCTTAATGACTCAGATTTACTGACTCAGCGTAGGCTGCAGTGTTCCATGTTGGCAAAAATATGAATGTTTTTTCACAAAAGAAGCTAATGCAGTAGAGCAAAAATGAAGGTTTGACCTTGATAATTAATTTCATATAGCTACATTTTATGAGCACATTATTCAAAACACATCCAGTCTATTAGGTTACCAATATTTTCAGGTATTTACAATTTTCACAAAAACTTAAAATAGCCCACATTGTGTATGAAGACACCAGAAAAACTGTACTGTCTAAAAATATATATGAACAATAACTGTAAGAATAATTAGGAACCAAAGATTATAAATAAAAATATTACAAAGACTTACTATTTTATAAAGTTAAATTATGACAGTAACCTAGATAGTCTTCAGCCACGGTGCACACAGGGATTATCTCCATCATTATCTCTTATCATTCGAAACTGCATTCAGCATGTAAGGACAATGAATGAATAAAAATTCAAGAAAATTGTCTTGATTTTTGTTTTCCTAGGGAGAGATGGAGGTCCCCAGAGACGAACTCCTCAGTACTGTTATGGGCCTGACATCTACCATCTGCTGAGAACACGCAGGGGAGGTATGAACACAAACACACACTAAGCATAAGGCTATTACTGACTCTCCGTATTAGCAATTTGGAACTATACAGCTCATTATGTCCTTGAGTGTGTTCTTAGGTTATTCTGTGTTCTGTGGTTGCCCCTCACTTTTCCATTATTTCTGAAAGTGTGTCTATATAGTCAGCATGGTTACAAATACAACCCCAAATTAGAAAAAGTAGGGGTGGTATGTAAAATCTAAATTAAAACTGAAAATAGTGATTTGTAAATCATCTGTGTCCTGTATTACATTGAAAATAATACAGCAGCACATTATTTGATGATATCTCATCAACTTTATTCTTTGTTCAAAATAAACACTAACTTCAATAATAATTAGATTCAACTTTGTCATTACCCATGTACAAGTGCAAAGAAATGCAGTTGAGCATCTAACCAGAAGTGCAGAGTGTGCAGTATCTACAGTACGTACAGTCAGGTCCATAAATATTGGGACAGCAACACAATTCTAACATTTTTGGCTCTATACACCACCACAATGGATTTGAAATGAAACGAACAAGATGTGCTTTAACTGCAGACTGTCAGCTTTAATTTGAGGGTATTTACATCCACCATGCAGTTTGCATATGTGCCTCCCACTTGTTAAGGGACCAAAAGTAATGGGACAGAATAATAATCATAAATAAAACTTTCACTTTGGTTGCAAATCCTTTGCAGTCAATTACAGCCTGAAGTCTGGAACGCATAGACATCACTAGACGCTGGGTTTCATCCCTGGTGATGCTCTGCCAGGCCTCTACTGCAACTGTCTTCAGTTCCTGCTTGTTCTTGGGGCATTTTCCCTTCAGTTTTGTCTTCAGCAAGTGAAATGCATGCTCAATCGGATTCAGGTCAGATGATTGACTTGGCCATTGCATAACATTCCACTTCTTTCCCTTAAAAAACTCTTTGGTTGCTTTTGCAGTATGCTTTGGGTCATTGTCCATCTGCACTGTGAAGCGCCGTCCAATGAGTTCTGAAGCATTTGGCTGAATATGAGCAGATAATATTGCCCGAAACACTTCAGAATTCATCCTGCTGCTTTTGTCAGCAGTCACATCATCAATAAATACAAGAGAACCAGTTCCATTGGCAGCCATACATGCCCACGCCATGACACTACCACCACCATGCTTCACTGATGATGTAGTATGCTTAGGATCATGAGCAGTTCCTTTCCTTCTCCATACTCTTCTCTTCCCATCACTCTGGTACAAGTTGATCTTGGTCTCATCTGTCCATAGGATGTTGTTCCAGAACTGTGAAGGCTTTTTTAGATGTCGTTTGGCAAACTCTAATCTGGCCTTCCTGTTTTTGGGGCTCACCAATGGTTTACATCTTGTGGTGAACCCTCTGTATTCACTCTGGTGAAGTCTTCTCTTGATTGTTGACTTTGACACACATACACCTACCTCCTGGAGAGTGTTCTTGATCTGGCCAACTGTTGTGAAGGGTGTTTTCTTCACCAGGGAAAGAATTCTTCGGTCATCCACCACAGTTGTTTTCCGTGGTCTTCCGGGTCTTTTGGTGTTGCTGAGCTCACCGGTGCGTTCCTTCTTTTTAAGAATGTTCCAAACAGTTGTTTTGGCCACGCCTAATGTTTTTGCTATCTCTCTGATGGGTTTGTTTTGTTTTTTCAGCCTAATGATGGCTTGCTTCACTGATAGTGACAGCTCTTTGGATCTCATCTTGAGAGTTGACAGCAACAGATTCCAAATGCAAATAGCACACTTGAAATGAACTCTGGACCTTTTATCTGCTCATTGTAATTGGGATGAGGGAATAACACACACCTGGCCATGGAACAGCTGAGAAGCCAATTGTCCCATTATTTTTGGTCCCTTAACAAGTGGGAGGCACATATGCAAACTGTTGTAATTCCTACACCGTTCACCTGATTTGGATGTAAATACCCTCAAATTAAAGCTGACAGTCTGCAGTTAAAGCACATCTTGTTTGTTTCATTTCAAATCCATTGTGGTGGTGTATAGAGCCAAAAATGTTAGAATTGTGTCGATGTCCCAATATTTATGGACCTGACTGTAGGTACAATTTATAGTTACAGTAAAATATGTAGGGTAATGTACAATATACAACAGACTATGGATTTAAATTACAGTAATGGATAAGGTACATTACGCTTATAGAACACTAGTGCAATGGGATGAAATGGAATGAAATAGTGCAGAATAAGAAGATAAGTTACATGAGTGAACAGTACAATGGATGTAAATAGTGCAAAGATAAAGATAAATATACAGTATCTGCATATGAACAGTGTGCAAATGGGTACAGAGCAGTATTCTGTGAGTAGAGGATGTGCAAATTAACAGATCACTTCACCATAGTAACATTGTGGATAAATCAAAAAACAAAGAAAACCTGGCCGAACAGCAAATGATTAGATATGTCAGGTGCAATTTTGTCTCATTTTTCCAGCAAACAAGTCTTAAGGTGAAGTATTTGAAGATATCACAATTTAATGATAAGATCTGCTTTTTATGAGCAGCCTATGTGGTGTTTGTTTTATATCTCAGATTTTTACAAAGATATTTAAATGTTTGAAGATATAATTTTGTCTGTGGTGGGCAACATTACACTACAATACAACCCCAAATTAGAAAAAGTTGGGACAGTAAGACGTTTACCACGGTGTGATGTTGTTATTCCTTTTCACAACACTTCGAAGATTGTAGGGGGCTGAGGACACCAAGTGATGAAGTGTGTCAGGTGTCATTCTGTCTCATTCTTCTTGCAAACAAGTCTTAAGGTGCACAACAGTCCTGGGTCTTTGTGGACACAATTTACATTTCAAAATGCGCCACACATTCTCTACTGGGGACAGGCCGGAACTGCAGGCAGGCCAGTCCAGCACTCGCACCCTTTTCCTCCACTGCCAGGCCTTGGTAATGTGCACTATGAGGTTTTGCATTGTCTTACATTGTTTACTAGCCCTGAAATGCAATTGTCCCAACGTTTTTTGGAATGTGTTGCAGGCAGCAGAATTGAAATGAGTGTTATTTTTACTCTTGCCATGGTTGACAGAAGAGATAAATTTAAACCAAATTCAACATCTCCACTCTCAATTCATCAGTATGGTCTCGGCCATAATAAACTGAGTTGACAACCAGTGTGTCCTTTCACATAATGAATAGGAATGTAACGACAGCTAGTGAGAGAGAGAGCTGTCTGACTGGCTTTTCAGCTTTATAGCACCTGCTGTATTATTATTATTTTTTATTCAGACAGACAGTTGTTCTTTATATTACAATTACAGTTGTACAATACAAATGTATGTCAGCAATCAGCTGGTCATCTATAATGGAAATTAAAGTATGTTCAACAGAAGAGATGAGGCAACACCCAGTCTGCCTTTCTGAATGACTGTTGAATACAGCTTGGTGTGTCAGGAGGCTAAAATACCAAATAAGTGACAGAAACCTCAGAATGATATGCCCTATTAGAATTCTTCACGTCAGGTTTTATGTTGTTTGCTACTTCATATCTGTGTCACCTCACACCGAGATGGTCCTGGCATGTTCTTCTATGTCAATATGGCCTGTCTATCTATATGTGTCCCCTGTGGTAGACTGCAGGCACATCCAGGATGAACAGTGCCTCTCACCCAGTGTCTGCTAGGACAACTGTCAGTCCTGTGCTAACCTACAAGTGATGTTATACTTTTTTTTTTTCCTCCACTGGGCAGGTCTTTAAGATACAAGTATCAATCAGAAATCTTTTTTCTTGTAAGCAAATTGACCTTATTTTATTTGAAGTGTCTTCAAATTATTCTTGACACTTCTGCATATTTTGCACACACATTTTCTTAATAGGAAAAAGTTGTTTTGTCTTAAAGCACCGTACTTCACATGGCTCTAAGGAACTAAGACCCAACCAGGACCTGAGTTTGAACAGGTACAAAGTCTACACGGTCTGATTGAGTTGGTTATGGCTTCATTTTTTTGCCATAAGTCTCACATCTGAGTGTCAGTATGGCCAAAGCTCATGTGGTCCCGAGCATATGCAGTATTGGCTCTGATTAAGTGAATTGTTAACGTCATTGCTCACTGGCGCTTTGCTCTGACAAGGGAACTAAAGGCAAGCTTCTTTCAGAATTGTCAGTAGCATACATTATTTATGCTATTAAGTTTTTTTTGTTTGTTTTTTATTGGAATCCTATTCACCAATATTAAATAGGTTAATGTTATTTGTCTATCGATATGTAATTTGGCTGAGAAATGTTTTATTGTTGGTGCAATATACTTACTGTATATTTTACATTATATACCCACACAGACAAAAGTTCACACACTTGCACACCAATGATATTACCAGGAGAAACTTCATTGTCAGTTCAGGTTCAGTGTCTTAGCCATGAATACTTCCACATGTGGCGTTTAGAAGCAAAAAACCTTTAAGGGATGTCCTGAAATTGAAATTTAATAATACTGTATGTGCATCAGCTTTGGGTAGGTTTTCCGCAGGTTCATTTAGCATTGGGTCTAAAATTTTGGACATGCGAAGACGTCTGTTCTGCACTGCTTTCAACATGATCTTATGGTTGGGCCTGTGGAACCTGTCACCTATCTTCAGACAATGAATGACTATGATTGTGATGTGCTATACATTGGAAAGTGGTGACAGGGAAAAAGTCAAGTGCACCCAAAGGCTTCAGCACAACCATTCAGCTTCTAGAAACAACACATTAGAAAGTGCATATCACACTAAGATTATGACATCTAGTTTTAATTATATGCAATAGGAAGTAAATCTAGATGTTTGATTTCTATTTTTGTCTTCTCCTTTTTCTTTGTGACTGTAGGTAAAGAGCAGCATGGTTTTATAGATTTGGAGATGCTGCCACCTGAATTAGGCATCACCATACTGTCGTACTTGAATGCTACTGATCTGTGCTTAGCCGGCTGTGTGTGGCAGGACCTGGGAAATGACGAATATCTATGGCAGGGGTAGGTTCACCTCTCCTTTTGTCGCTTTTTGTATAATAAGGTGGTGATTTGATTGAGGTTCACAAGTGCTGCTTGGTGATAAATAATCATTCTCAGCAGTGTACTGTGTGATCTGCTGTTATGACATACAAAATAAAACATGACACAGAGGAGAGACAAAAGTTAAGTTGCTGAAATGAAAATAAATTACATGATTTTACCAAGTGCTTCTGTCAACTGCTTTGTTTATCAGTGGTTCTCTGTACTTGCCAGACATGCTTTTTTTAATTTATTTTTTTAATCATGTCTTCAGTAAAGTTGTATTGTGCTCTTTTATATTTGTTTCTCTTCTGTAACGCCTGTCGATCTGTCAGGCTGTGTAAGTCCACATGGGGACACTGCTCTATCTACAACAGAAGACTACCTGCTGGTTTCTCATATCGAAGACTATACCTACAGCTAGATGAAGGGAGCCTGACATTCAGTGCTAACCCAAAGGAGGTAACACACCCAAACATCCAAGATCTCTAGTCCTGTAGATGTACACTACCACAGAGCTTCAGCAGTGTGTGCATGTGTTGATTGTGTACACATGTTGGTATTTGTAACAATAATGTCATTACAGCAGTATGTGTATGATGATGTTTCAGAGTGTGTTTGTATGTGTTTGAATCTTTGGCTAGAATAAGATTTTCATTCAAAAGATGTATGATTCTCTCTCTCTTTGTGTTCGTGTCTGTGTGTGTGTGTGTGTGTGTGTGTGTATAAAGGGTATCAGTTATTTCATGTCTAAAGGTATACTAGTGGATCATCCAACTGAGCTGGCTAAGTTCATTTTCTACACTAGACGGCTCAACTGGAAGATGCTGAGGATTTACCTGGATGAGAGGTTAACACACAGTCACAGATAAATACACAGATGAAATTTTTTTGTATTGTAAAAATTCAAAACCATGCAATGACTTTAATGTAAATCCAGTTGTAACAGGTCAAATTATTGAACTTCTTACTGTGTTTAATTTAAAGGTAGATTTATTGGTGTGCGTTTCCTTTTAAATTATATATCACATCATCGACTTTGATTACCATTGTTAAAAAAAAAAGAAGCTTGTATTTGTATGTGTGCAGGCGGGATGTCCTGGACGAGTTGGTGACCCTCCATAATTTCAGTAACCAGTTCCTCCCCAATGCTTTGCGGGATTTCTTCAGGCACATCCACGCACCAGAGGAGAGAGGAGAGTATCTAGAAACCCTCATCACCAAGTTCAGCCACAGGTTTTGTACCTGTAACCCAGGTCTTGTCCGAGAGCTGGGCCTCAGTCCTGGTTAGTGCTTACAAACACACCCACACACATACAGTACATACTGTTAACACAGACAATATGTTAAGTAAATTTTTGTAGTTACTGCAGACCTAGGTTTACTTTTATTAATGAAAAACTTATACAATATTAACTATGGGTCTTTGATAGATGTATGATAGACTCTTCTTGTGAGCAAACAACAAAAGTTGTTTTACAGTAAATTTCTGCTTGTTATGCAGGATGACAAAATTATAAATTGATTAAAAATATACATGAAGAATATGATTCAGGGCTCCCAAATGCTGCAAAACAGATAGGACCTAAGCAGCACAACCACCTCTCTACCATGGAGACCTGAAAAGAGGCCAGACATTACAAGTATACAAAAGGCAAAATGCAAGCACATCATTCCCACAGTATGGAGGAGAGATAAGGAAATGTACACACAGAGGAAGAGAGACTCAAGGTCCCAGGCGATAAGGATTCCAGGATGACCAGCGGTCCAGCACAGAGAGCCTGAGTGAAAAGGAGAGGAGCTTAGATGCTCGTGTGCTTGAGGGACAACAAACAAACAGAGACAGAGAGATGCAGTAGTTTTTGGAAAGTTGACAGTACTAGGGACAGATGGGAGTATTCTGAGACCATTTAGTTTAAGATGTTTAAATTTTAAAACTGTTTTCATACAGCATCAAAACAGTTTAGGTCTACTTTACCATTTCCATGTCAAGTTTATAGACGTCTTAGTTTGTTTGGCAAACAGCAAAACTGCTCATGACTGCCAGACCCTTGTGTTAAAACAGTGCAGAGAGTGCCAGTTCAACACACTCAGCCTGAACCACCACTTAGACCTCTCTTCAGTCTCCTACCGCTGTGATTGTTCTCTTGTGTTTTAATGCAGCTGCATTTACAAAGATGTTGTCCTCATTTACATATATCTGTTTTTATTGTGAGAAAAGTTGGAGGCAAGTAAAGACTGTCTTCCCTAACTTAACTGGCACTTAACTGAAACAGGATAAAAACAGTGTTTAGGTCTGGACCATAACATTTGGTTTAATTAGTCTAACTTTGAGACATCACAGAGTTGTCATGAGTTATTGTTAATCAAACTGGTCCCAATGCAGAGCAGGGCCAAAGACCAGCATCGCCTTATCAGCCAAACAGACGTCTAATTTACTAGTTTGAGTATGCTCATCTGCATTTACAGGCACATTAATTTGTGTACCATCAGCATAGCAGCTAAAATTAATTCTATGACTAATTTGACAAAGAGGCACAATATCAAGAGAGAAATGGTAGAAGGCAAAGAACAGAACCTTGAAGAGTTCCACATCAGAAAATTTGGTTATAGCATTAGGAAACACTTTCAAATAAGTAAGACTAACCAAGTGAAAGCCAGGCAAGAGACACCAAAGTGATTTTCCAAGTAATCTAAGAATATACAGTGATTGATGGGGTCAAAAGCTGCACTCAGAACTAAATACATAGTAAGCGGAAGATCATTCACCACTTTAGTGAGGCAGTGTCAGTGAAGTGAGAGGCACCAAAAGCAGTTTGAAAACATTTGAACTGATTACTCCTAGATACACTATGTGGGCTGAAGGCTGCACAATTTTTTTTCTAGTAGTTTGACCTTTTGACCTGAAGATGGCACTAGAGGAAAGCCCATGGACTGTCTGACTTAAGCTTTATCCTTTGGAGAACATCAATGTATTAAGTACATTTCAAGGCACTGTGATTATATTTTAATGTTTCTGGTGCACAGAGTGAAATTTTGACTTGATGGTGTTGCTACAGTAGAGGTCAGGGAGTCATCAAAATTTTCAGTAAACGTGCTTTTAGACCATTAATAGCCAGTCTATCTTGGCCCTAAACAGACATCACCATTCTTAAAACTTGCAGCTAGAAGCTGCTGTGACAGTAGAACTGATATTGAAGCTACTACAATTCTGACCCTTTTGCCCAACCACAAAATGAGGGAAAACTTTAAGGTTTTATTTTCAAGCAATCCCTGACTTCAGTATTATCAATGAACCATGAATTTACCAGCTGTGGGCTTTGTTAATGGCAGCAGACCATACAGAAACCAATCCCTGACTCTGTTACTGTTAACTCCTTGGGCCTACTCCTACTGGTATGATTAGTAGCACTAGTAGGATTAGTGTAATGGTTCCAAGCCCAGAGCTACAGATGGATGGATGGATGCCTTTCTGAAGTAATCCTTTTCGTTTCACCGCCACACTGCTGCTCCATCCCCCCTGGAAAGAATTGGGCACGGTAGTGGAGAAGAATTGATTAGTAGAACACTACACATTTATCTGTCATAATCCTCATATTTAGAAACTATTTGGACAAGAGTTACAAGTCTGACATACAGTACACTACTGCCTACACATACTGTATTGCCCTGTTTATCTCTCTTCGTGGGGGTTCCACTTGCAATAATATTTTAGTTCAAGGCATTAGATGTAAGGTTCCATGTGTTCTGTAGTGTGAAGGTATGTTTGAAATGAATGACAGGGCTGAAGTTTTAGCCTCTAGTGCACTCTAGGGTGTCTTTGACTTCATAGCTTGAATGGCTAGCACTACCTATTTTCTTTAGTGCCACACATAGCTGAGCTTTGTGTGAAAGCTTGTAAGAATCAAAAACAGTTTGTTTACAGTCCAGTTTGCTATCATCTCTCTGCAGATGCTGTGTATGTGCTGTGCTACAGTCTGATCCTGCTGTCCATCGATCTGACCAGCCCCCATGTCAAAAACAAAATGTCTAAGAGGGAGTTTATCAGGAACACTCGCCGAGCAGCACATAATGTCTCGGATGACTTCGTAGGCCACCTCTATGACAATATATACCTAATTGGTCATGTGGCTGCATAGCTTCACCTACAGTAGACATTCTCATAGTGCACTGAAGGCTAGGGATTGGTCATTGAATTCCTATTGATGTCTGGAAAGTATGGAACTTAAGTGGAAATGGATTGTAGGAATTTTCATGTACTTCAAGGAGTATAACAAAGACTTAATCCTACTAAAATATTAGTAAAACAAACAAGATTTACCATTCCACTGTGGACTGTGCTACCAAATATTTGCAATGCTATTAGGTTTTAATCAAATTTGTGAAACACCTGAAATGTCTTTAAAAGCAAGCCACTGCAAAGGAGGTGGAACCATGACAACCAGCTTTGATACTGCACTGATGGATGGAGTGGGCGGTCTAGGAGTAGGTGCACTTCCCTCAGCTTGTCCAGATGCTGGGACAGTCGAGCCGATTTCCTGTTGGAGAGGAGCTGTTTCTCGTTCATCAGCAGGACAAAGACTGGCTTGCCCATTCCTGTAGGGCGTTACATATATGACATTAAAAGAAGGCTAACACAAGATCTCTCACCATTCTGCAAATCAGCTGACTTTGATATATCGTCCAGTTGTAACAACCAGAATGTCCAGGTTCTGCTAGCCCTGGTTCTCTGTGGCCCATATTTGAGGTCTTTGTTCTATTTCATTTTGTGAGTAAAAAGATGACAAAACATTAGGCCTTATGTTAGAAAATTTTAATATTCTAATCTTACATTTCTTACTTCTTCCTGTGAAATTTGGTAACAGTAGTGTTTTAAGTCAGATTAACAGAGGAAAAAGACTTTCATACCACAGAGTTTTATGTCCTGGTGCCATAAATTAATGAAAAATATAACAGCTTTAGTAGTAACAGATGTGATATTAGAAGAATGGAAAGTCATCAAAGCAGAGCTCAACTGTGATAGTGATGGGGTCCAATAGCAGTTTAGTGAATCTGAATCCAGATCAAATCCACTTATTGAATACTTTCAAATCTAATTGTTTAGGTAGTTTATTAGTTAAATAAATGTGTACCATTTTTATTTTATTCACAAGAACATAACAATTTGAAACAATTTAAGAATTTTAGTTTTTTCCAGTAATGTTAAAAAAGTAGTTTTAATGTTCATTTAAGGATAAATTAACAAACATGACACTGACAGACTACAGTAATTGACTATCAAATCTAAGACATGGACACTCTGCTGTGCCGAAGGTTCGCAGTGCTTTAACCACACATTTTCTTTCTGCTTTGTTACATTCATCAACCCTGTCCTCACTCACTTTCCTTTTGCTGTTTTTGCTCTCACTGAGGGGCTGTGCTACAGCTGTAAAAGTAAAAACAATACACTGAAAAAAAATACAGAATCTACTTTATCATTTAGTGAATATCAGTTAAATAGGTCACCTGTTTTACATGCACTGTGGACTTTGCATTATCTGAAGGCAAACTTGTTGCTCTGCTACAGGTCACAGAACATAGTGTAACACCAGGCTGAGCACTTATTAAGTTATCAAATATGCAAGTTCTTTTGCTAAATTGTTGGATGGTAGACGCATATTTAAACATAACCCATCTGTCATAACCTATCACTATGATAGAATTAAATGGGTAATAGTTTGACACAAAGTTGCTGTTGATGCTGAAAACATAACTTCATGAGAGGTGATTAAGCCAGTGTGACAGTCATAGAGATACTGTATGAGAGAACATTATAGCTTATAGTCGCTTATGTTACACTGTTGTATGCAACAGATGATGATACTGGACACCTACTTGGATAAAACAGGGCAGTTGTGATATTGATAGGATGTCCTAACTACTGAACTACTGGATATGTGGCTGTACAGAAAAATGGCAGTAAAGTTCCTAAAGTCATAGGCTCGCACTGTTTTAGAAAATCATTTGTTCATAATGATACATTGCTGCCACAACATTAATCTTAATTTATTAATTTTAATTAGAAATTGTTTTTTCATGACTTTATAGCACCACAACCACTACAGATGTAGTTTTGTCAATAGTAGAGTCATTCTTCCACAAATGAATGAGAAGAGATTAGTGTGCATATCAAAATGTGTTTAAGTTGCATTTAGCTGCCTTCCATGTACAACTAACAAAGCAGAGCCATGGAAAAATAGGTAGAATACATGTGTGATACCAGTTGATGGATTACATTTGTCAGTACAGTGTCTGGGTTGTTTTTGATGGATTGTTGAAATAGTAGAAGACAGTTGCAGAGGACAGCACTACAGTAGAGAGGATGGAGTCTGACAAGCAGAAGCAGAAAGTACTAGTCAAAGGTTTGACACATTTTTCTTCAGTGATTTTTCATTTTTTTCTGTTATTTTCAATATTGTATATGTATAGTGAAGACATTAAAAACTGAAATAACATGGAATTGCATGGTAAAGAAAAAAGCCTTAAAAGCAAAACGTGTTTCATATTTTACAAATTAGACACTGTTTGCCTTGATTACAGTTTTGCACTTTATCGGTGATATCTTAAAGCTGTATTAACTGACTTCTGAATCTAATTTAATCTTTTTAACTGTCAAGTGAGTTAGAACAAACTCAAGCAGTATCCCTTCTTCTCCCTTTGCTCCTCTTTGCCCCTCCTGCCCTGTCTCTGAAACTTTGTCATATGTGGTCACGACAGGCAGAGACAATTGTAGCAGTCAGGTAGAGCAGCAGTAATAAGTGGCTCTAGAACTAATGTATACAGAATATAGAGCCCACAGAGCCTGTGGTTTTCAGTGGCACTGCAGCGACACAATGTCAAATAAAGAGGTTTACATTTTAGCAATATACAAAAGTACTGTATGTCTAATCTTGTTTGTAGCAGATGTGTCCGCAGTAACACAAGCAAATTATACAGAGGAATGTTTTTTCCCAGTAATGTTGATGCAGTAGTAATGTTCAGGTCACTATTGCATCACATTCAGTGTTACATACTTGACACACATAACCCGTGTTGAATGTAAAACGAGAAATTTCATGTTACGCTTTGATAGTTGAATCCCCCACTTTTGTAGTTGTGTTGTCATAAATTTTAACACCTTCTCACTAAAACACTACATGGACTGTAGCGTTATGTCCAACATAAACGACCAAAACCGAGTAAAATTAGCTAAATTGCTTCATTTGCTATTCCAGGAAAACTTGCTGGTTTCCGTTAACTGGACAACAAAACACTAACAGCCTTGCTGGTTTCTGTTAACTGGACAACAAAACACTAACAGCAGTCCAGGAATGACTCCAGATTACAACCAGAATAGTTGCAAAATTGAAAAGCTAACGTTGGGTTGCTGATGATGTCAACATATACACATTAGCCAGCTACAGTACTTGCACATCTAGAAGGAAGAAAGCCATATCTGCATCAAATTTTTGTCCTCTGGATGCTTTTAATGCTCTCCATCTCTGACATGCCAAACAGATGTTAACCCTGATTTTGCTTTGTTCTTTGTTGCTAAATCTTAGTCAATGCAGCTTTAACCAGCTTCATACAGTAGCTACCTGGGGGTGTGCCTTGCTGAAAGTGAAATGGTGGCATTTCTTGCCTTCTTAATACAATTGAGTTCATCAGTTGTGCTGTGCTGAGGTAGTGTTGGCATACAGCAAATAACCTTATTCAATTTCTCTAGTAATGCTTATTATGGCGAGAGCTGCTCAACTATGTAAAGAGAAATCAATCATTCAATCTTTAAGACATGGAGGTCAGTTAATCTGGAAATTTTCAATGACTTGGAAGGCTTCTTCAAGTGCAGTCACAAAATCCATCAAACACTATATTAAAACTGGATTTCATAAGGACCACCCCATAAAAGGAAGAACAAGAGTTACCTCTGCTACAGAGAGTAAGTTTATTAGAGGTACCAAGCTCTGAAGTTTCCTGTTAACAGTACCTCAGTTTAGAGCCCACACCAATACTTCCCAGAGTTCAACTAGCAAACTGTTAACAAAGCAAAAGGTACTTCAGAGACTAAAATTTAAAATACATTTTGATTTGTTTACACTTTATTGCTTATTACCAAATGTGCTATTTCATGATTTTGATGTCTTCAGTATTAATCTACAAAGTAGGAAATAATGGAAACAAAACCAAAACCCCTAAATGAGAAGGTGTGTTCAAAGTGTTAGCTGCATACTGATGTTCTCCCCCATGGCAGTTAGTTATGACACTGTCCATGCTATTCTGAGCAGGAGTCAGTCTCCCCTATGTCCCCTGACCTGTTACATCACACAAAACATAGGCACAAGGCCATGCCTCTTACAGTTGTTGCTCCCTCACTCTTCTGTTTTTTGTTTGTTGTTGATTTTTATTAAATATGCTGGGGGCTAGGCCTATAGTTACTTTAATTAGGACATTGATGACCTCAAACATTCAAATACATGAAATACTTCAGCTGTTGCTTTAAAAAAAAAAAGTCTAACAGCGATGCCCGTCAGACCTGAATGCAGCATAATCACTCTGTGCTAGTAGCTTTTACCAATGAGTGCCAGCAGCTAACATGTAGATGCAGCTAAGGGAAGTATCACAATGGTCACTAAATGTAACCATAACAAGTGACATGATGACAGTTATTTAAAAGTTTTTTTTAATTAAGGAGGTTATATCATAGCCTAGGGAAGTAGTTGTAATAATCGATATTTATTTTTAAGTCTTGTTTTCTACCAAAGTAATTATAAATTAATTGGTTTCTTTAATTTATGAAGGAAATCTATGACCTGTACTGTGCTTTCTTTGTGGTTACTACTTTGACTGATAAAATGTGCTGAATGTATTGTATACTAAATTGCTCTAAATATTTGAATTATTAAATGTGGACTTCATCTTAACCAACATGTTTTAACCACCTGCAGCTTATACAGAAATATAGTCACATCTTACAAAGATGTCATGCACCACATATTTTTGTTACCTTGAAGTTAGTTCAGTAATTTATTTGGTTCATTTTCACTCAAAAGTCAAAAGAATATTAATTTTCAGTAAAAAAAAAAATTATATTAATTAACATATTCAATTAAAGATTGGGGTTTGGGGTTAAAAGAAGTAGTTTATTAAGGTAAGAGGGTATTCAATGTCATGGTTACAATAAAAAATGTGGTTTATTGGTGATAAAATGAATGTGGTCATGGTTAAAAAACAATATGCCATCATTTTGAAATGGGAAACAAAAAGAAGTTCCTGTGTTCACATCTGTTTTTTAATCCACCCATCCATCCATTCTGACATCCTACATATGTATGTAGACTTTGTGGCTTTATAATACCGCCTGAATTCTTCCTATGCAACTTCTATAATTGCTAATAATACAGCTAGAGGACATTTAACATTAAAATGTAACTATGGGCCTCAATAAGATGCTAACACAAATGATCTGTGGAGTCATTTTTTATGGGACAGTGCCAGTGATTTAGTACTAGTATGGCCTTATGGTTCAGTATACATTGTACTTAAACATTTTTTTTTAAATAGGCCACACTGCTTCTTGTAATTCTGCTTCAGTGTGTGTGTATGTGAACACCCCCAGGCAAGTAGCGTTATGGTTAAGGGTAGGGTAAATCTCCAAGCAATGAATGTAAGTCAACGTAAAGCCCTTATGGGGAATGAAAACAAGTGTGTGTGTGTTTGTATAAAATAGTGTGCATGGTTGAGATCAAACAGGTAAAAGAGTAAATCCTCTCCAGACACAATATGACCTTTGACACCTGACCTCTATAAGTGTGTCTGTGTCTGGGTGTGTGTGTGGTGCAGAGGGGTGACCTATCCCTGGGTGGTGTTTGGTTTATGTACTGCAAATGAAAAGAGCACAGAGGGTACAGATGCATGATCTATCCATACACACATGTACACATGTGCAGACTCACATTCTCCCACAGAAGTAAATGTTTCAAAAATATTTCATTTGAATTTTGTATATGTTTCTGCAATGTTAACAGCTGACTTGCTGAAAGTAGCAGTGGTATCAGTTTGGTTTCAGTAGTGGTGGTGATATGCACTTTAGGTATTTCATACTGGACTGATCAGAAATAGTACTGAAACCAAGTCCAAAAATATTTTCTTTTAATTTTTCATTGAAATTTTGGGCTGAGTTTTCATCCTGGCTTTTTAGTAATCTGTCCCTTGGAACTTGAGAAGCAGGGCTGCAGCTAGTATAATTGTTTTCATTTTCAGTCAATAGTTTTCATGAATTTATCAGATAAGGTCATAGTGTCCAAAACCACTGTATTTTATCCAACAGTTTTAAAAAATCCAGTATTTAGAGGCATGAAATGAAAGCATCCCATAATAAAAAGATTTAATCACTTGAATAATTAAGCCATGTCATGTTTAGCAGTTTAGCACCACTCGCTGCTTACTCAAAAAGATGAACCTATACTGTACACTGGGAACACAACTTGAATACTTGGAAAAAAGCACTACCAATTGTGGCATTGTGAACTTCAATATGAGGGTTCCAGCAATTACTTAATTAACTACCTTAAGGTCATTTTAATTAACTTCATTATTATGTGTTTGCATAGATGTAAGGAATGTGGCTGCTGGTGCCATATTCACAGGATGCAGAATTACTAAGTGACAACCTCTTCATATAAACCACAGTCAAAGTTAGGGATGAGATGGGAGGAAAATAATGAACATCATTAACCAACAACTTGTAACCCACGAGCTCTCTCTCTGCTGCTGTTGCTGATGATGTTGAGCCAAGTTCTCAGGACGATGAGATGACGGGGCTGGTATTTATTTAGTCCAACTCAGACCTCTGGGTCTGGGTCATTGTCTGGTGGCGTCCGAGTCCAGAGAGGCTCACTTAAGCCTGATGCAGATGATGGATGGCCTCCTGAACCCCAGAGCCTCTGCACTTCATCAGCATGAGCAGCCACTGCTGCTGACACTGCAACACACACACTGCAGGCTGGTTTACACAGCGCTCCTGCTAATATACTCTACTGGTGCTACTGTTACTATGGTTACTACCAACACTTACAGTATCCTTTATCTACTTACTATTAATGCTGCTGTTGCTAATAATAATAATAAATACATAATTACATACAAAGACTGTAAAGAAGTTATTTTAATGCCTTGCCTGATAAAATATTTTTCTACTGTGTCTAGTGCATACTTTTACACTGTAAATTACATTTAACAAGTCTACAAAATAAAAGATCAATATAAAAAAGATATAATGAAGCACATAAAAACTTATAAACATAATATAGTATCACTGAAATATCGTCATGTGAAATCTAATTACTGAAATAACATTTTTTGTTAACTTTAATATATTCTTTTCTAATGTGATTAAAATCTAAGGTTTAAAAGGAGTGTTGTAATGTGAGTCTTTGTAAAGTAGAGAAAGAAAGAAATTACACTTACAGTTTTGCATGCGGCACCTAGGCTAAACAGCTGGACGTCTGTTTCCATTTGATGCAACCAAAACAATCTTGGGTTTAAACATTTCACTTTAATGAGTAGCTGGAGCAAACTTGAAGAGAAATAAAGGGAAAAGTGGATTGATTTTTTTTTTTTATGATTTCACGTATTATAATGATGAAGTATTGTTTCCCATTATTTTTTTGCCATGACTTCAGTAAATTCCTCCATTTATTTTTACAAGGGCTTCATCTTACATCCACTTCTAATATTTTTTAATTACACATGCCCTCAGATATTTTACTAAATTATACTTTGCAAATATTGATGTCATTTGCAAAATAGTTTACTTTAAGATGTGTTGTATAAAACATTGTGGAACTGTGCCTGGG